ATGGACTGATGAGGTTATAGCTCTCACAATCTAACCTTTCACCTCTGGGTATTCTTGCATGAACACAGGATCTTTTGTGGGGATACTTCATGTCCAAACTATATATTCTGCCCCTGGCCCCTATGTCCATCTCAAAATGAAAAATACAGAAGTCCTTCTCCAAGATTCGCAGTCTCAACAGTTCCAGCTTTGCCCCAAATCCAAGTCCAAAGTCTCACCTGAGACTCGAGGCAAACTATTGGCTCTGAGCCCCTGTAAAAATGAAAAACAGGTTACGTAGATGCAGAATAAAATGGCACAGAGTCAACATTTCTGTTCCAATGGGAGGAATCGCAGCATATAAAGAAGGAATGGGACCAAACAAGGCAGGACTCCAGCTGAGCCAACAGAACACACCCCTCCATGTTCAGCACCCAGGACGCAGGCAGGGACAGGTTCTCTCCCAAGGGTTTGGGCATTCCTGCCTCTTTGACCCTGTGGTGCATGTGATCTCTTTTAAACCAGCTCTCTCCACACCGGGCAGCCTTCCTCGGCAGACCGTCCACGAGACTGGCTTCCCTTCATCTCTAGAGTCCATTCGCTCTGGCCTCACCTTCACAGCATCACCCATTTCCCTCTCAGGGTAGCCCACGGGGATTCTGACCCTGACACACCTTCCTGGCCTTCCCCTGACGTCTTGGTGGAAGCCTTCAGGACCTCCTAGCTGCAGCACCCTGCATTCATGCAGAACCAGCATCACATGGATGATGTCAGATCTGCCACCAGCTCCCACAGGAATCAGGCCACACTGAACCAAGACCGCGACAGCCTCTGAGGGCTTGGGCAGGTAAGTAGAGTGTGTGTCTTGGCACAATTTATGTTGTTTGGTTTTCATTAAAGGAACCCGCAGATAGCTCTTTCAAAAGCCCAGCCTGCCCTGAGGATGGATGTGGTGAGTCTTGGCCATGTTTAAGGGATTTTCACGAAGGCGCATAAATTGATCAGATGTGCCTGAATGAGAGAAATCTGTGTCACCACAAAGGGCAAAGGTCCCATTCGTTCATTCCTCAGCTCAGCAAAGGTGTATTGGTCCCAGTGTATTCTGAGCACCCCATGAGAACCCGAGAGACAGAGGAGGGGACAAAGTCTCCTCTTACTGGATGTGTTAGTCGACTGTTCATTATGAGGCCAAGATACCTGGCAAGAAGCCCTCAGCAGGAGAGAAGTTTGTGTGGGCTCCGGGTGTCAGTGGTTCAGTCTGGGGTACGCTGGCTCCATTGCTCTCAACCTCAAGGCAGAGGCCACCACTGGACGGCAGCTACTCTGTCCACAGTGGCTGGGAACAGAGAGGAAA